AATGGGCGCAAAACCCTAGTGGGCACAAAACCCTAACGGGCATCAAAACCCTAATGGGCACAAAACCTTGGGCACAAAACCCTAATGGGCATCAAAACCCTAATGGGCACAAAACCTAGAGCTCTGATACCATATAGAGACTAAAGTTGGAGAGAATCCAACGTTCTGTATTCTCATTATTAAAGTCTATATATATAGACAAATATACAAGGTTGACCTAATCCTATAAGGAGAAGGTAAATGACAAATTAATATTAATACAAGAATATAAAATATACTAATATATACTCTAACAAGTTTAAAGGAGAAAGAAAGCCAAATTTGAAGCGACCATCAAACAGACTTGCTTCAGATAACGGTAGGTAATGTCTTTCTTTCTTCCATTTTTATAATCAGAGAATTGATTTAACGAGGCAGGTACCTAAAGAAAGCTAAGCAATAAAAATGAAACTCACTTGCTGTTGTTCTGAAGCGTCCAGGAGAAAATGAACCGACCCAAAACCACTCGCTAAAGTTTTCTCATACAGTGTCCTGTTTACCAATAACTGTTTAAATCGTTTAATTAGAAAAGCATCAATCAATCATCAAATGCATGCAGAAATTTGAGTCAAAAGGAAACTATGACGATTGATGAGATTGACTCACTTGATACCTATCCCATGTTTGTTTGTAACCCAAAACAACTCGTGTGATGTAAATGACAAGAGCACTAAAAGCAACCACATCAAGAAAAACTGCTGATCTGTGGCAAATGTAAGAGAAGAAAAAAAAAAGTTTGATTAATTTCAAAATTAGAAGAAATTATCTTTATTCTCGAGGTTTCAAATATGTGGCATGCACAAAATTTTATCCTCACTCCAGAGGCTACCAACCACAATCAGATCTTTGATTTGCAAGTCTGGTACATTTCTCATCTATCGTCCGATATGCATATCAATTTATTCAATAATGCCTATTCAAAATTTATCCAAGAATTTCAATTTAAAATTACAGGAATGTTACACAATGCAACCTGGAAAAGAAATATGGGAAGTTTCTAGCTTTCTTCAATTTCCTTGTGCAAATTAATGACTGTAATCAGGTAGCGAGTTAGGAAGAAGCATACGGTGAAGACAACAGATTCTCAAACTTGTAATTAATGAAGAATGCCAAAAGTCCCAAGATTGTCGCAGCATCCAAGCGTAGCTGCAATTTTTTAGCATTACGTCAGGAATGTGTCAAAAGGTGACAATAATGGATCATCAACGATTCATAGAATCCCACAAGTAATAACTAAACAAATAGGTGATTGAGCATGAACTTAAATTCAAAATTAAGACAACTTATTTTATATGGCTAAGATAGTTAGGTACTCTGCTCAATAATTAATAAAACAAAAGGTGAGTTGGCAGGCATAGTTGTAAGTTACATCAGTATATGATCATTTCTGGACTCAGAATTAAAGCAAGTTATGGTGCCCCCATACCTCGTATCTCATCAAGTGCCTGGGGAAAGAGAGCCTTTGACCATAATTATTTCTGTATGTACACCCATAACAAGTTTCTAAGTGGTGATTTGTAACTGCTAACCTAACCTCGTTACAAAACATGGAACGTTTCATAATTTAATCCGGATTAAAGAAGCAAGACTAGAGTGCATGATAGAAGTTTTTGTTAGTCCTTGCTTGTTAATAGCCAGTCAATGAACTAACTAAATGAGCTGCAATGATACAGTTAACTAGGCATCTATAAGGTCATTCTCTGATCTACCAGCCCTTGTTCGTTTCCATAATTGATACTTACGACTAAATCACCTGGTACCTTAACTAAGGGATTTTTTCCCACCATAATTTCAGTTAAAGAACTACCATCTCTGCAGATTGTATTTCTCTATGACATGCATGAAACACTGCGGAGAGCTCTATTGGCCTTGAGGAAAAACCATGTCTTGCTCATTATAAATATCAAATTATGGAATAAAAAAGACAAAAGAATTCAATCTGATAAAATAACATAACTACAGAAGAACCATGCACAGATATGCTACACACTTTGCAGCTCTGTTGCACATGGTTTCTAGTTGTTGAGTTCAAACACTCTAGGGAATGCACTTAGAAATATCAAATCTAGGTCATACCGCATCAATAATTCGAAAGGATAGTTTCTTGTCCGGAAAGATCACCTGCATGTAAAACCAGGATTGAAATTCTTGAGTAAAATTAAAAATAAGAAGAGACTAACATCTAAAACAAGAAATGCAACATAACGGGTGCTACAAAAGCAAGGGCAAATACATTATACGAGAAAATGAAAATATTTACAAACATTGGAGTATCAGAAGTATATACTGGTAAGTCCGGAATAGGAATTTTCTCATAGATCTTTAACTGCAACGATGGAACCTTAGTTTTGTCTCCACCATCCCTTCTATCTTTGGTGTAAAGTAAAATTAATTCTTGGAAAGCTGGCTCCTAATTCACAAATTCACGGCAAGTTATAAAGTTGTTTGAGATTCTATTACAACAGCAGGAATTGGAAAATAAATTTTAAAACATGACCAATGACTATTAATAAATTGCAAATAGGCCAAATACGATTACATCTTAAATTCAAATTTAAGTCATACAACTGCTAAGACTATAACATAACCAACCAACCATAGCGAATAATGCATTGCACGTATATAACACAACATTAACACCTCATGCAGAAAATATATTATTCATGATAACAAACAAAATAATTGCGCAACTTTCACCCAGTAAGAAACAATATAGAGGCATGACCAAAATAAACATAAAAGTTGGGAAGTCAACTTCCTTCTTGGACATATTCATGATATCAGACGAAAAAGAAGTGGCGATTAGCAACCACTGGCGTAAAGAAACATGTAGTTGGGATTGAGGGCGACTTAGAAGAATGTTTTTTTATATACAGATCAAAAGTTTGTTCCAGCTAAGAGACAAGATTGAAACAGCAAGCATGTGTTCTTCAGATGAGAAAGTTCTTTGGCAACTCGAAAATTCTGGGGATTTCTCCATAAAGTCAACTTTTTTGTAATCTTTCATCTAGTCTGAGTAAGTTAAGAACCCTTTAATCAATCATATCTAGAAATAAAAAATATTCAATAAGGTACGGAAAATTTGTGGTCTCTTAAAAATTGAAGTCCCGACACTCCTCCTGAAAAGTTACAGAAGAAAAATCCTGACTGGCACATCTCCGTAAATGCCTGCTATTTCTGTCTAAAGGAAGGAGAACCTTTGGACCACTAGTTTTTACATTGCCCTTTTGCTGCCAGAGGATGGTTTTTTCCGCTGGAAACTTGAATTCCCTCCTTTTTGCTCCCTGGGAACACTTTGATATTTGGCTCCATGAAGCTCTCGTGGTATGGTGGCTGAAAGATAAGCAAAAGTGTTGCGGAAACGTGCAGTTAAAGCTTTTATGTGATCTTTATGGCTTGAAAAGGATCGAAGAATCTTCCAAGACAAAGAAAGACCTTTTGAATCCTTTTGTAAACTTTTACAATACACGGTGTCAAGTAGGAGCTCCCTTCCCAAAAATTTATTTTGTAACCACAACAGTTCTTTTTTTTTTCTTTTTTTATTAATTTGAATTGGAAAGACTTCGTGTAATAGCTCCTTCTGGGCGGGGGTTTGTTTCCCCCACCCCGTCAGTTTTATCTCTTTTATTTTTATAATATCCCCTTTTTCTTATTATAAAAAAATAAAAACATAAAAGTTCGGGTGAATCCATTTTATACTAACAGCTGGGCTCAGCTAATGGGAAGGGAGCCACTTAGAAAATTAGAAGGAGCAAATAAAGAATACCTGGAGTACTGATTGAGAGAGGAGGATGGAAATGGAAGTTTTCAAGCGTTTCCAGATATCATTCCCACAATTTTTCATTGCAGGCCTCCATATATCACTGAGTGATATTCGTGATATGAAGATAGGCCTGGATTAAGAACAATTTGTATCGTAAAGTTATTCAAGAGGAAATCTGTTAACATAACTACTAGAGCCAAAAGAGACTTCCCGAGAGAAAGAGACCACAGGCTCAATACATAACTAATTAGAATAACATTTTCACTATTCGTACGTTTAGAAGTGCACCCCCTGCATTCATGACAGCTGAGATTGCAACAATTTATAAGGAATGCCCAGTTGAATGACTTAGTGCCCATAAGGTGAATTGGCAGCTCTAACAAACTATCATATTGTGCCAGTTGTGAAACACGGTACCAATAAGCAGCATCCAACAGAATTTGAACGAGCAGTGGTTGTGATTAATAACATCAACAATTAATGGCACATATGGAAAAAAGGCTAGAGAAAAAGAAGTTGGTATTCTTCGTGGATTCTTTTTCAAGGGAAGGTCATTACAACCGAGATTCTTCATAAGAAGCTTCCATCCTCTTCCCTTCCCTCAATGTGTGTTTTATGTGCTACCAATTGTGGAAGTCTTGCCCTTCTCTTTTTCCATTGTTCATATGCCACTGTTTGCTGGGAGTTTTTGCTTCATAGGTTACAAGCAATTTGTCTCAGCTCTTTTTTGAGTTTTGCCCTCCAAAAGCTTGTCTCATTTGGATCATCGCCTTTAAAGCTTTATTATCAGGTTATTGGTTCGAAAGAAATTTAAGAATCTTAGAGAGCAAGAGCAAATATTCTTTTAAAGGCTTCTGTTTAGCCATTCGTCTCAATGGTGTTCACTTTCAGATCTATTTGCGAATTTTTCCCTTGATCCCATTTGTTCGAATTGGGGCGCTTTAATCTTTCCTTTCTAGTCTCACTGTTTTGATTTGTTATTTTCACGGTGTACTCTTATGTTTGTATTGGTTTCCTTTCTCTTTGTTCTTTCACTCTTTTGGGAGTTTGTTTCTTTGAGCAATTTTGTTCCTTTTCATACATCAATGAAAAGTTCGTATCTTGTCTATTGAAGGGAAAAAAAAAAGTTTTACAATTCCAAATTCTGCTATTTTCAAGGTTATGAGCACATATAAGCACTTTAAGCTGCATTGCCAAAAATTTTATCGAATCAGCTAGAAAGATATCAGTCATACCACCATAGCTAGTTTGCTAAACTTGCTTTTTTTTCTTATGTAACAAAATTAGGGGGCTAGAGCAATAAATAAATGGGTGAATTAGAATGGTGTCAGACCTTAAATAAGGTTCAGAAGCTTTATTGTCATCATCAAGCTTGAATGGTTGTTCTGGCATAGGGGGAAGAAGTCCTATCCATGTAAGCAGCCTCCGTAAGAGTCTTCCACGAGGTCCCATGGAAGAAAGAATTCCTTCGTAACGAGATACTGCACTCTGAGCTGCTAGCCAAATTGGAAGGTCTCTATCTGAAATCCGATTGTCTCCCACTAGATCAGCAGAATCTTCTTCATCATAACGAAATAATTGCTGAGATATAGGAAGTTCGCTCACCCAAGGCCTCAACCTCTTAACCCATTCTTGAATTTCTTGCATCTGTGGAGCACCTAGTACAACCTGTTAAAAATAAAAAGGGAAATGTGACAAGATTTACATCGAATGATGCTGGAAGTTCAACATAGTTACAGAAGTATTCACACATTAGATGTTTAAGAAAATAGGATCAAAGTTGGCAACGAATATCCAAAAGTGGACAACCTCGGCTATCCAAGTGCCAAGTCTCCCCAGTGGTTTTGAGATTATGGAGAAGAGTCCTCGTAGAAGTCTAGACTGTATATAATCTAGTTTATCAACAATTAATAGGCCTTTCTGCCTCTCAGTTGCATATCCTCGCCTGTTTAAAAAAACAATCACCATTGGAACCTACCATAATGTTGGAATAGAAGAATAATTGACTAGGTCATTGCTTCAACCAATTAGATGAGAAAGAAAGACATATCTAACCATCATAATTTCATATAAAATAGCCATGTAAGGCATCGATGTTAATACACGACCAACTGACTAAGTATTTTTTTAGTGTCTAGCTGCACCATTCTTATTGAACATGAGGTAACATCACCAGATAAAGGTACACTATACTGTTTTAAAACAACAACCCATAATTTAAAGAATAGCAGGCAGTTCTGACTTGCAACTATGGATCCATCTAAAACACCATTATTATATCACACTATTTTTAAACACCATGACTAAACCAAGTTAAGCAAATATAATAAATAAACTTATGAAACCAGGCATCTTTTTAAGAATTAGAACATACAACATACATTGTCTCTCAAACTTTACGAAGCTAATAAAAGTAGTCTATTGCATAACCTGAATATAATTGCATTAGACTCAGACGCCCTCTTCCAGTCAACATATATTGGCAAAGTAAGCAGATAGTCTGTATTCAATGCTGATGTCAAGACCAGGTCCATGGCTGAGAGTTCTTCAAATTGAGCATTTTTAAGAAGTTTCATAAAAGAACGCTGGAAACGAGTGGCAACTGCTACTCTAACAAAAATACACAAAAAGGAAATATTACATTCGGATTCAGGACGAAACTGTCCAGTTATGGAAAAGAGAGAGTGCACAACCACACCATTACACAAATCGTCTCTTACAAGTTACATTCTATTCTAAAGACAAAAATGGTTCCATGCTAAATTCACTGGAACAGAATGAGTGAGTACAGGAATGATGAATTTTGTCAGAATAGCTTTTCATTTGAAATATTCATTGTTTTGAGACAATGTCGTAGTCACAAACAGTGAAAAAACGAACTGAAGAAAGATGGTATATTCTTCAAGAATTCCATAGCCTGATCTTACAGAAATTGTTATAAATTAGCTCATCTGAGTATTAGAATACCCACAACCATAAAATTATAATAAATTTTTTGTCATCTGAGCATTAGAATATCATCCATAAAGGGAATTCATATGTACAAATCTCGTCTTCCATGCGTCCATTGAGTGAAAATGCAGTTATTTCCAGTTGCAGGTAGGTGCCATACGTAAAGGGGGGTTTTTTTTTTTCTTTTGAGAATTGAATAAACTAAAGAGCAGGACTTAATTGAAGTTTTTAGGTTTCTTGAACATAAACACACGTATATTTTAAAGTTAATTTATTTGAATTTTGAAATGGAAAAACGATGAGAAGAAATTGTAGACGTACGGAGACTCCCGGTTGACGTAAGTATTCAGGGTACCCGTTGGAGAAGTACTAAAGTCCAAACTGTAACCGAAAGGCATACCATCCCTGGGTGAGATAAACTCCTGATTCTTATTAGAAACAAGCGGGGCATCAGTAGTAGTAGAAACCTCCTCAAAAGTCGCCTCATTTTCCACGGACTGAGTAATGGAATAATCGTTCCGCATTTCTTCTAAAATCCTCTTGTGTTCAGCGTGAAGAATGGAGTCCAAGCACCTGCAAAAACGAAGCGGGCAAGTAAGCTTTTTTAGTTTCATAGATGGAATTGGATAGAGGGAGTGATAGAACTGACGAAGAGAGGAGCAGAAAAAGTTGAGCTTCGGGATCATCATCATCATGGTTTTGGTTGGATTGAAAGAAGGTGAAGAGAATGGCATCCAGCAGCTGGGGTTTAGAAACTGGAATATGTTTGTGTCTGGGCACCGGAATTTTAGAAATGCCCTTATCTTCATCGCCCGTATCGTAGTTGTAATTACTGAACTTGTTGTGCCACTGCTCAAATTTGGATTCCAAAGATCGCATTTCAGTTGGCCATCGACGACAACCATGAGGAATTGAAGAGAATCCGATGGGGAGCTGCAAACACCACATCATCAACCATCGGATAAGGCGCTCAGAATCGGAACCATTAAATAATAATATCGTGCCTCCTATTTTATTTTATTTTCGGAAAGATATCCTATTTAATTTCAAAATGGTTGGTTCAGACTTGACAGAGCCTGAGATTTGAGCTCCCCTGCTCATCCATGGTTTTCACTTTCAATTTGGCAAAACTCTCATTCCAGAACCACCCTGTGCCGAAGCCGTTGTTAGCGAGCGTTTGGAGAAGGAATGCCAGTGGCAGTGGCAGTGCCAGAGACCGAGTGATAGATTTTGGGAAGCACAAGGGCAAAATGCTTGGAGCCCTACCTTCGAGCTATCTGAAATGGGTGTCGAAAAATCTGAGAGCGCGGGAGTTTGAAGAGTGGGCAATTCTTGCGGACCAAGTTCTTGAGGACCCTGTGTACCAGGACCGCATCCAGTGGGAGTTCGCCCACAACGTTCTGAGCGGCACCAACGCCCGGACCCGGGCGACCGGCGACGGCGTGGTTTCTGAGTTGTTGGAGATAAGTGAGAGGTTCGGATGGTATTGGGATTGGGACAAAGCCGGTTGGAGAAACGTCAACTTTGAGCTCTTGGGAACCTCTAATGGTGGAAGAATCCCACGAATCAACAACTCTGAATCTGAATCGAATATGAAGATGCAAACGCAGAACATCCAAATCCAAGGCGGGAGTGGGAGGAGGAGGGAGAGAAGGGATCGGCTTAGGCTGAAGAGAGAAGCATCCAAATCCAAATCCAAATCCAAGGGAGCGATGGACAAAACTGATATCAGATCCACTCCTCAGTCTCTATATGCTCCAACCAACAATCCCAACATTACAAATCCTTTTCCTGGGCGTCAAGCTCTACTAAACTACGCTACTCCACACTCTCAACCTTCTTCTTAATAATTTGTTTCTGTTCTTCATCTATTAAGCTATAACAATGTAATGTATATTATGATGTAGTTTAGAACTAGAATCAGCTTTGAAATTGAACCAGAATGTGCTTGGCTTTTCTTTCTAAGTTGGGTTTCAACAAGCAAGGATGCACAAATTAGACTGAGTTTTCTATTGCCAATTGGGTGTCAACCGTCAAGCTCAAACAACACAAATAAATAAATAGGCTTCATCTTTCAGATCGCAAACAAACTCAGCATCAACCGTGAGCTTATTCTTCACCACTAACTAACAAGTAACAAACAAGAGTTATTTGGGTGTATTTTTTAAAAACATTTTAGCTGATTAGTTTTTTAAAACTATTTTCTATCGCTTCTAAAAGTTCAAAACTATTTTAAAATATGATAATAATAAACCATTATCAACAAATTGGATAAGACGGGACAGAAACACGCTTAAAGCACCAATTAATTCTAAAAAGAAAATTGTTTATTTAAACATATGCCTTAATCCAAATAGCTGTCTCATTACTCCAACAAGTTGCTTGAGTGTTTTTTTTAGTACAACAAGTGGAGGTGGAGAATTCGAACTCTGACCTCATAATCAAAGACAAGTTCTAATTTCAACTGAGCTAAACTCATGTTGGCAACAAAGTAAATAAAGAGAAATTCAGACACATCGTATAACATTTAATGAGAGCACCACACTTCATGAGTAGCAAGTCCTTATGCAACTTCCTCCAACCAACAACTCAAATGCTCCTCTAATGGTCTCCTAAAATTTAAAATTAATTAGTTGGACTTATCACAAACATGCAACACATGATCAAGGCAACGGTTTCATTATGAGGTAAATAGACGCTATCATTGATTTTAGGAGAGTGAATACTTGACATCGCTCTCAAGACTCTTTCAGATCTAACCACAAAGCCTCTCAATACTCTGAATGAGAGAATGAACAAATTGTTAATTTAGCATCCAATAATATGGAGTGAACGTTTACAGACATTCTAACATGATTGGGTAAGCATACACTTCAGTTTATCTTTGCCACACCTAAATAACCAACTCCACGAGAAACAGATCTCCATCAAATCTGAGTCCTGATGATTCAGCAGGCAGAACTAGGCCATCCACCATCCCCCCAAGGACATATAAGTAACGACCAGAACGATCTGCACAGGCGCGATGAAATGATCTAGAGCTGGGGGTGTAACCATTTGCCTTTAATCTCTTCCACATCTTCGCTGATAATCCCATGGAGTTTGATGTGGTAAGCTGCTGCTCTTCGATTGATTTCATCGCACTGACATCCAACGCCCAAAAGTCATCTTTGTGGTGCCTCTCTGTATCTTCCCCTCCATAAATTAGAAGGCGGCCTCCCAGGATGAGGTTGGCGGAGTGTCCAACTCGCGGGAGAGATACTCCTTCACTTATATTTTGTAACTCATACACAATTTGCACCCATCTAACCTGACCATCAAATATATTCAAGAGCCAAACATCATTCAGCACATCATACCCTACTCCTCTACCGCCAAACAGAACTACTTTCGTTCCCCCAATGGAAGTAAGTGTATGTCCTGATCGAGCTGGAGGAGACGGATGAGCCACAATCTCATGCCAGCTTCCAAATTTAAGATCCTCAGACAGCTCTAAAACCCAGGTGTCTAACAATCTAATGCCACCCAGCCCAATTCCTCCATGGACAACCATCTTCTTCTCATCTATGCAGCATGAAGCATGAGCTCCTCGAGGTGGTGGCGCTATCACCCCAACGTCAAGTCGTCTCCACGAGAACCCAATACCATGAATCTCGCTCCTTTCAATCCTTCCCACCCATGTATCATTCTGACGAATTCCATTGTCCTTGATTCCTCCAAAGAGAATCAGAAAATCACCAACAACAGTGCATGTATGTCCGAATCTCCCACTTGGGATACCTGAGTTCATCTTCTGCCACTTCAGCATCCTGTGGCAATCATTACCAATGTATGCCACCCACGTGTCATCAAGATGACGTCCTAAATCAACAAACAAGTACAAAATAGAGCTTAGATGTACATAATAAGGACAAAGAAGGTCGGCCTTTAATGGTGAAGCTATTCGCCTGAAGGTGCATGTTAGAAGTCTACTTTATTTATCATCTGTCTCAGAATCTGACAATTTCATTCATTCCCCCACTACGGAGGCCAGAATTTTCTTATTCTGTTTTGCAGAAAACAATACATCTAGAATAGCTATAGTCTATAGATATACTGGCGTTTTAAATATTTTGAGAATATAAAGAATAAGCCCACGGTTGATGCAAGTTGAGTAGCTATATATGTTCCATTTGTAAGAAACAATAATAAAGTGGCCAACAACTAAAAATGATGAACGAAGAACAAAACCTTCTATTTTCTCTGAATAATCTCCTCGTCTAACAAAATACCACACACACAACTGATGGTGCAGATACAGAAGCTCCATCTGCTCTCTTAAACAAATAAAGGTAGCAAAAAGATAGAGCTGGTAATATAGAAAGCATCATGATTTAACAATAACCCATCATCCCATGGGTGGGTACTAAAGAGGCCTCCCTTGGTATAACAATTATAAATTAAATGGTTTAATTAACTAACTCTTCCGAAAGGCAGTCGCCCCAATTAACTCGAGTTTAAAGTTAACAAGATTGAGAATGGGGATCAGCACACATGAATGTTCAATCCGCACTTGTAATCTAAGCGAAAGCAATAGTAATCGAAGATATCGGAATAACGGAAAACAAGGGCAACGCACAATCACCATGAATAAGATAAAAGACGCAGAACATGAAGAGAAAGGAGATTCGTATAGTAAAAAGAACACGAACCTCCTTCGCATCCTCCACCAAACAGTACCAAGCAATCTGATACGAAGTTAAGGGAGTGAGAAGCTCTAGGACTGGGATGTAATGATTCGGCATCTGGGTCGGATAATCTATGGCAATAAACAGAGTCAAGCTGGGAAACTTGCTTGTAGACCCTCATCCATGGCAGCTGAGAGAGATGATAGGACTTGAGGGCCTCGACTGAAGAGGATCCCCATTCCCTTCTGCAAATAGCTTCCCAGAGAGTATCAGAGGAAGTGAGAGCCCTAAATCTCCTACAAGTAATGGAGAAGGAGAGAATTGAATCTACAGGTAGTCGGAGGAGAACTGTGAATAAGTGGTCCGGAGCTAGGGAAGTGATCGGTGATCCGTCGCCATGGTCACCTCTAGCAATGGATTCTTCCAATTCCAGCTCCATGAGAGACGGTAGAAGACGGTAAGTAGGCTGCTGATTTATGCCTCCCTCCCTCTTCACTCTTCACTCTTCACGAGAAGAGAACAGTTAAAATTTTCTGGTTTGGAGCTTTCTTCGTTGAAAAATACATGGCTGGAGCAAGTAAATTTTGGACCCTGCCTCCGTTTAAAAATTGGCCACTCATTATTTAAAAAATATATATATTTACTTTTGTAGGGCTGTCTCAGTATTTTTCTTCTTCATTTCTTATTTTTTTTCATTAGTGAAAGGAATCATATCCTTACTCTCTTATTTTTTTGCTGATTTATTTTTTTCATTGGTGGGAACCATATCTACTAATCATTTAAAAAAAACCTTTTTGTTGTTGCATTTTTTTCTTTTAATTATAAGATATTTAACGATAGTAAAAATAAAGAGTAATCTTGTCTTCACCACCATTAAATGTTTATTATAAAAACTAATGAATTGTCAATTTTTTAATAGCAGTGAGGACAAGATTTGATAAACTATTTTTCGAGATTAATTTAAGTTTTGAGAAAATGAGTTTAATAAGCTCCAACTTCCAGTTTACTTGCCTTTCATGCACAACTGAATTAAATTACATTTCCAACGAGTGTCTATTCTGTGCCACTTGACAAATCACACTACTTCGTATGGGATTGGGATAAGCTACCTCAGCCAGCTGCCAACTTTGATTGGACCTCTGATGCGGTTTCTGCAACACTATTACTAATAATGATGTGCGGTAATTTGGACAGAAGGCCTGCTATAGATAGACAAGAAGTCGCCTTCGCAATCCATTTCAACTTTCAGATGCTTCATGGAAAAATCTTCCTAAAACATTTATCCCGTTACCACTGACGGAAGTTTGCTCTTCTATATCCAAGAAGATTCGTGTCCACTCTAAAGTCCAGACCTGAGAGACATAAAAGACATTTGGTATTAAATTCACTAGAAGGTTAGAACTTAAGACCTCTAAGTAGCATGATCGAGAGATCCCAAGCTTTTGCCAACTAGGGACAGTCCCTTGGAGGCTACGACTCCACCAAACACCCTTTTTCAAAGGATTAAGCCTAAGTACTCATATTACATTGAGCCATACACAACTTCTATTGCATCAAGGGCCATCCAGCACTTTAATCAGACCACAAATATATTGTTGCTGACCACTTCTTGGGTCATTTTGAACAAGCTTCATGGGATGTCTCTCATTCACCTATGCAAGAAATACCAGATCAGACAGTAAAAAGGGAACCAAGTGGCTTATTGCTAATCCCGACTTTATTATATGATTACAGACAGCACGTCATTTGTAGATTGCGAGCCTTCAGATGAATCGTCGAAAAACACCCTTTTATTTTGGCAACCAACTTATTTTTTAAAATTGCATAGTCCCCCGTTGTTTATCAACTTCCAAAGGGCAACCTTGGCTTCCTCGAGTGTTTCAACAGCGTGCCCTCCTTCGAAAGATATTCTTTGAACGTTGAACTGCAAAAGCATTAGTTGTACTTATAAATTACACGTGCTAGTAGAAGAAATTGAAATCTTTACACTATACTCCTCTCGTACCTGTGCTCCTTGGCGGACTCGAATATCTATTCCCTTGCTGTCTATTGATATTAGAGCGGCATCGTCTACCTCACTTTCAGCTGACAGCAGCTCTTTCAGAGGTTTTGAGAACATCACATTCAATTCCTATTCGATGAGTGTGGGGAATATGCCAAAAAAAATAAAGAGGAAAGGAAAGACGGAAGGTAAATAAGCAAGAAAAGCCCATAAAAGACGGTTACAATTGATCCTTTTTTATAAATTAAAAAAAAAATACACAAATACTCAAGACAACCAAAATAGCAACATGGTCCAGAGAAAGATCTATCCCCCATTAGCTTCTTTGATCTTAAAGAACATTGCGCAACATTCATTAGCTTGTGAATACTCCCTAATAGAGCGCAAGATATCAAGGCTTCGAAGTAATAAATAATATACTTCTCCAAGTACTTTCTAATTCTTAAGATACTATGCTTTTAAATAAATGAAAACGTAAATTAAACGAAATATAAAACACTTCCTAACTAAATCCTCACCTTAAGGTTTTGCTCACCTCCGTCAACTGCAATCTTATCAGGTTGAAGGGCCTCGTACTCCTTGACATCCACCCACGCAACAGTACCAAACCCTCCAATGAAATAAATGTCACTGCCAAAAACACCATAAAATCAAGATATAATAGGCTATCTGATCGTTAGCCTCAATTTCCATATGGGTAAACATGCCAAATATGAGCTAATGAAAATTAATTATGAATCAACCCAAAGAACGGTAACCAAATATATAGCATAAGTTATTTCTCCCCTCTACTAGTGACCCTTAACTTAATCCCCGTCGTCAATTAAGTTGATGATAAGCAAATGAACAAGACAAGAAAAAAAGGACAAGTTGAATCCAACATATGTGGACATCATCTCAAGGGATTTAAAGCAACTAGTGACTCCACTGGAATTATTGTTGAAACCAAAGCCGTTCAAAACATTTTTTGGTTGGAGATTGCAGATTTAGCTGGGCTATACCAAGCAATGGGTGCATTGGAGGAGACTTCAATGTAGTCAGGTGGATTAACGAAAAGCTGAATAGCAAGCTCAATACCGCATATTTTTTACAAAATAAGTTGTCCTCCTTCAGTTATCTTCAGCCATCAGTTTGTTTGCTATCTATGTTGTGTGGCTTCTGAACATCACAACCATTTGTTATTTGGTTGTCCATATGCCTTGTCTTTAGAATCTTCAATCTTCATTGTCTCGTGACTGAGAGTAATGTTATTCAACTATTTTCTGTTCCTTATTTGGCTCCTAGGCCAAACTTATTATGGGTTGATGCAGTTAAAGCCATCAACTGATAACTTTGGTTGGAACGTAATCAAAGAATCTTTGAAGATTCTCAGAAACATTGGTTGGTCCATGTTGAAGTAGCTAGCTTAAAAGCTTCAATGGTGGGCTGTTTCTAAGATTACTCTCCAAGACGTTTGTTTGAATTGGGAAATCTTCTCCCATCTCTTGTTAACTTTGTTGGTTTCTGATGTATTTTTCTTTTCTTTTTTTTTCCCTTTTTGGGGTTCAGTTCTTATGTTCTCTTGTTATTTTTCTTCCCGAGTTTGTATTTTTTAACGTTTTATTATTCCTTTTCATTAATCAAGGTAAAATTGAAAGACAAACACTACAGTGCTTTGTTCCAGAAAAAATAAAATAAAAAAACTTTTGAGTTGTCTTGCGTTCGATTATCATGCAATAGGTATCTTGTAATGCCGTTGGTTTATAAGATGTACTAAGATGGCATGAATAAATATAAGTGAAGCAGTGTTCTAGTGTTCTGGGGCTTGAGGATTGAAAAAAATACCATAATTTTTTAACATAGAAGTTGTTCGTGGGATGAACAACTATAATTCATCAAAAGTTCAGCAGTGTTTTGGCGTGTTCTTTCCATTAATTTTCATTATTATTCTTATTTTGAAGTATACGCGTGTTTGAATTCTTTCCTATGTAATCACTTGTGGGTTGATTGGGTTTGGGTGTAGAAGGGTGTCCAATGGGTCTTTGTTATGACAGCCATGCAAGGAAGTTTTCTTCTGTAAAACTTGTATAACTTTTTACTTGTCAATGAAAAGATTTGCCATCATAAAATATAGATTATAGATAACCACCAGTCCAATTACAGAACAAGCCATAACTTCAAACAATAAATCAAGAACAAGAAATAAACCTGATATCTTGCATCCTGAAGTAGTAAAAATTCCCCCACTGTTGAGAAGGTCCTTGTTGATGCTTTGCTATGTATTGCTTATGAGCCCATTCCTGCAAAAACAAGCGAGTATCATTTTATCGCTAGAAGTGAATATTGGAGAAGGATGGTAATCAAGCATGAGTATCAAAACAGCAATTAAATTGGTTTAATGCTTCACTTGTAATGTAGACAGACAACGGAATTTCAACTTTTCTTTTTAGAATCAATTTCAACTTTTTAATCATACCAATAATTACATATTTACAGTAAAACCAACCTGTTGATCCTCAGGAAGGGGGTATATATCACCAAAAATAGTTACTCTGGCATTTGACAAGCCACTCCATCCAGGTATCTACGATGTTTAACCGCCACATGAAAACCTAAAATGTAAAATGTAAGGAATAGAATATGTTGATTGTTAAATTACAAACCTGCACAACAACGGTGCATCTTGGATCTGCCAACAAATTCCGTGTATGAATGGCCAATGGTGAAAAAGAAAAAATTGGATCTGCATGAAGAAAGACAGATAATTACCAAGCTTAAACAATACACCGACGCATAAAATTATTACTCTATAGCATTGGGATTAGAAACAAGAAAGCTAGTCCAAAAAGTATGTTGTTCATCATACTCTATATCCTAGTGACTTCAATTCCCTAGCCAACAAAATGAAGGGAAAAGGAAAAAAAGAAAAAACACCGATTTGTATGATTTACAAATGCCATTTTCAACCAGTAGACAGCTCAATGATATGGGACAAGCTTTTTCAAACTAACATATTAATTAACAGGGAAAGAACATCCGGCAAATGTTCTATCTAATTGACTTACGCCCCATGGAGTCAGCAGCAAAATCTACTAAAGAACCAAATGGATACCCCTGCCTGCGGTGGTGCATCCGAGACATCACAGTGCACAAATGAGCAAATCTGGCCTTAAAAGTAGAAAGAATATATCGTTCAGAAGTTTTCGCGGTTGAGAAGACAACAGCTATTAAAATTTATACATGATGATAATAATAAAATTAATGAAGTTTAAGCCTCACCTGTTCCATAAGATTGCGAACAGCTAAGGCTGGTCTGGGTAGACCATGAGCTGAGGTTGCACTCTGCACACCACCAGATATCGGTGTTCTGAAAAGACCTGCCCTAGTTCCACTTCCACTGATGGATGGAGTAATAAGAGGCATATCCACTCTTACGGGCTCACTTTCACTCTTCTCATTATTGTGAATGAGATTTAAATCATCCTTCAGAAAACAAGAGAGACCGTCATAACTAATCCAAAGCAGCCAATCATTAGAAAAGGAAAGCTACATATGAATTATGATTCAAATAAAATTGCCAGTATTAGATCTTTGTTTCTCGATGATAAAAAAATTTAAAAAGGGAAAAAAAGTTGTGATGCTTTTGAATTCTAGTAGTACATCCAATCAGAGACTTCGAATAATAAATTACAGAAAAGCTGTGACTGAAGTCATCTGCTGCTTCTTTTAAATGTCTCGAGTTCCATGCCTATCAACTATCTCCACCTTCAAATGTCTCAATCAAAGTTCACGAGTTCGCTAAGACTAAAGCATTTATAGGAGCGCAGCAATCAATAAAATATCAATCAAATACTTTACAATCAATCCACAAAATAGATTACCAATCAAAGGAACGACTGTAAAATAGGTACACAACACGCATAAAGCTCTTGACCTTGTTTTCTCTTATCAATACGCTAAAACAGCAATTAATAAAACACCAACTCGTAAGAGCTAGCTTCGTCGTCGTAAATTCACACTCACTGAGACATCAAAAACCCTAATGGCATATTTGTACGAAATCTGCTTACATCGATATATACACAGTCCACACATAAAACAAGCGTATCCATCAAAGAGTAGGAGACGATACCGCGGTGAAAGATGCATCTTCCTCGGAAAGAAATCCAAATCCATTGTCAGATGGCTTGGCCTCTTCAGCTTCGCCAGAGAGAGCACGAAGGCCAACGAAGTTAGAGCAGTCGTTGATCCGGAGAAACCCAGTTCGTTTTGTCGGCTTCCTGAACAAAGAATGAGCGTAGTATGGCTCTGGAAACTTGGGGATGGCAACAGAGCTGGCTAGCGCTTCCATGGAGAAACCGCAGAGGATCGAGGCAGTTGCAGGAAATTGAAAATGGAGGCGTTGGTAGTAGTAGTAACAAGAGAGAAGAGAGCGGAGGTTTTGTATGGAAATCACAAATCAGACAACTTGTAAAGTCAGTCGTATGCGGAATTCAATCTCGTGCCAGCTGATATTTCACTCTCGAGAAAACCGTGCTTCTTTCTTTCCCAGCTTCTACGATTAAATTTTCCCTCTATACTTCAAATCTTCCAACCTTCAACCCTGTAAAGAAAAACAAAAAAATATATATATATGACAATTGATGGCTGTTAAGTTGATAACGATGAAAGAAAACGCGAACCCTCCTCTTTTATTTTATGGCAAAGGTGTAAACGCCAAACTTCGCTACGTTGTTGAAAGTTGAGACAGCCTTTTGATAGATCAAATATTGTCAAAGTTTTTATTAATAATGTTTCGGATAATTGACATATATTTTTTATATTTGATTCCTATATTCCTAAATTATTATATTAAAATAAAAATAAAAAAAGCCTCTAAGGTAAAATTTAAATATTGTTTTTATTCTATAATGATATCAAGGTTTAAATGTCTATTTTATTTTGTTTATAAATAATTATTTTGGTTTGTCAACTTTGAAAAGTGATTGTGGTATTCTTGAATGTGATAAATAGATGTATTGTAAATCAATGAAATATTCACATGTTATATTATTAGCAATTAGATGGATACTAATATTTTGTTCAAATACTTTTGTCATTAACGAAACAAATAGTTTAACGATTGTTTTGACATTAAATATTTTGACGAGACTAATTTTATTAAGTTATGTGTTTGTGTTGACGTTTTTTTCGTTTGAAGTTTAAAAGTATAATAAAAAAGAAAAATGTCTGTTTATAGGAGATAAATTGTAAAGTATATATAATAAAAATATTCATGTGATTTTATAAACATTTGTGGGAGGAAAATTAGTAAATACGTATATTTTTGCATATGTGGTAATGAAATGAGTATACTTGTACGTATAAAAAAACATCGTTAACCATATGTAAAATTTTAGTGGAATTATAATCTTAATTAATGTTTATTATACTGTAAAAATGGGATGGCTAATGGTACTCTAATAAATATATATATATATATATATATATTTTAGTACAGTATATGAGGTGAGAAATTGAACTCACATTCTCTTGATTGGGGTATTCCAATTTTACCTGCATTCTAATAAGGCATTAAAAACATATATAAGTGTATAACTTATTTAGATTCAAAATTTAGATAGTGAATACAATATTTAGATAATATTTGATTAACGTATACATGGATATATATAACAGATTGCCTCCGAGGCATTACGAGCTCTTCCAAGTGATTCAAATAAAATAAGGCAAGTCAAAATCCTTGATCCAACGTTTTCGAGGATGAATCACCTGCTAAAAAAGGGAGGTATGCTATTTATGAAATTATCGTTTTATCTCTCTCTGTTTTTTATCCACGTTGTAATATATATATATATATTACTCTTCCTTTAAAAATCAATATTTGATAATTGCTGGTTGTTTTATGTTTTCTAAAAACAAGTTGTTTTTAAACATATAAAATAGAAAAACTCAAAAAATAAAAAATTAAAATGAATATCAAAAGAGAGTTGCAATTTTTATGATTAGGTTTAAAACCAAATTGATCTTAAATCATTGAAATTAAAACTTATTGTTCGAACGTTCACGTGAATTTAAAAGAAAGTATACAATTTGAATATGTCCTCGTAATTTTGTAAAATATTAGATTAGGTATAAAAATGTAAACATTTAATAAATCATTTTAAAATTACAATTTTCAATTAAATTCAAAAAATAAGAAAATATATATAAAAAAACTATTTATAAATATTTCCATTTAAATATATATTTTTAAATATAAACGAAAAGTAATTAATATGTTCATAACTTACAATTTTACTCTTTCCCTCATTTTTTTTATTTATTTTATTTTTATTGGTGCGCTCGTACTTTCTTATTTACTAATTTAACCAAAAAAACAAAAGTAAGGAACATAATTATAATACTAAAATACGATAATATATAAAAATAATTACAAAACAGTATTTCAATCAATAAAAATATATAAAAAAACAAAGATAGTTAAAAAAAAAATGAAAAAAAAATATTTTAAATGCATCAAACTCATATCCATTTGTAAATCATTCAAATAACGAATATTCTTTTGCCTCAGATTAGTATTATCAAAAATGAAATAAAATAAAATACCATAAAATTAAAATAATAAATCAAATTTGGATTTTGATTGAATGGTGATGTGAATACTTTTTTAAAAAATGGTTTCAAAATTTGGAAACATTCCATGTTTTAATTTCAAATAATTCCAAATAGATATTTGGAATGAAAATTTTATGGAAAAAAAAAAGTGATTTGTGATTTTAAATTCCTTCCTTTTATTTTCAACTCAAACAAATTAAATGATTTACAAATCATCAATGTTCCAAACAATGGGTAATATTGTGGAGCACAGGGATTTTAACTTATCATTTTATGATTGGACATAATTGCTTTAGTCCATCAAACTATGCTAACTTTTTTATTTATTTGTTTACAAAATAACCATGCTGAATGTGTGACTATTAGATTATTGAGTTCTAACAAGTGTATGAATTTTCAAATTCACGTTTAACTAATTTATTGACTTTCAATATTGCGTATAGATTATGAAACAACAAGATGCGCACGTATATATGCACACACATATATAATTTGTGGATTTACTAGTCATGTAATTAAATGATGTATGTCAGAATTATAAAATTTCAATTATGCACCTAACAAGTCTGTAAATTAATTTTTATTAATAGATTAGAAATCCAACATATTATATATGTATGTATATATACTACTCATAAAATTGAATGATGTATATATCATAACTATAAAATTTCGAGTATGCAACTAACAAGTCTGTGAATTATCTTTTTTTTAATAGATTAGAACTCCATCCAACATCATTATGAAAGTTAACTAATTTATTAAATATATCAAATCGAGCATAACTCCAGTGGTTAAGACACATATCTCTGAATAGAAGGTCATGAGTTTGAACTCTCACCCGACAATGTTGAACTAAAAAAAACTATATATATATTTTTAGTTTACCAACGCGCGAGATATGAACTCACCATCTTTCTAATCAATTTTCAATTTAATTATCGATCTATATTACAAAAAGGTTTATAAAACTATTGGACTTATTTTATTCTATTTTATTTGAAGTTAGAACTAATTTTTTAATTTAATTTAATTTAACCTATACAAATTACAGATGATTGAAAATGGGGTCCTCCGTCGGACGATTCATGGTTAAATGCACTTGAATGCTGGAACTTGGATTTTGGAATTGGAAGCAAAGCACAGCCGAAGGTGACACACACATCGGAGATCGGAGCCCTAACCGCTACTCCTGCTTCGCTTCGTCTCTTTCTCCATTGTTCGCTCTCCGCTGCACTCATTGCCGGTGCCGGTGGGGTATGTTTCCCTTTCCCTTTCCGTTCACTCGTCTCCACTTTTCATTCAATTGCCTATTTACGTTGTTATAGCATACTTGGAATAGGAATGATGCGCGTAAAATGTATTTCTAGCAAATTGCATTTCTGCGTATTTATCTATTGGTAAACCCCCGACTTGGCCCTGATTGCAAACAATAATCACTGGGTTCTCGATTTTCTACCGTTGTTGTTGCTTTTGTTATTGTTGTACTGCTGAAGCTGTGCCCACCAGTGGAATTGTAGCGTAACTAACAGTACATGGTTATGGGTTTTCTTCGTTTATGTAGGTTACCCCACCTGTTACTGCTTTAGAAAGGTTTTAGTTCACCATGTCATCAGCATCAACTGCCTCTCAATCCCTTTCGTTACCCGCTCCGCCTACTTCCAACTCTGCAGCCAATGGATCTTCAATTCCCAATTTGATGCCCGCAACTTCACCAGTTCCTCCTGCCCCTTCTTTACATATTCATCAACTAGTGCCTGGAACTCCGATGATACCTGGTCCACCGGGAATGTCACCATCTATTCCGGTAGTGTCGACAAGTCCAGCAACTATGTTTTCACCCAGTGATTCATCTGGTTCCACTATCTCAGGACCCAATATGCATCCAACTCCCAACTCAATAAATACTTCCGTTCGTCCTCAAATATGTGGTTCGTATCCTTTAACTCATGTTGTTTCCCCACCCCACGCAATATGGTTTCAGCCTCCTCAGATGGGAGGTATGCCCAGGCCTCCCTTTCTGCCATATTCTGCTTCTTTTCACGGCCCTCTTCCTTTTCCTGCTCGTGGAATGCCCCTTCCATCTGTCCCATTGCCCGATCCTCAACCTCCTGGTGTTACCCCTGTTCAAGTTGCGTCAGCAATTACTGTGTCATCTGGTCATGGCAATCAGCTTACTGGAAATTCGGTGATCCAGACGGACTTAAATCATTCTGGACTTGGTATGATATGTGTTGTTAAATTACTATCTTTCTGACATGGTAAGCCTATTAGCACTCTGGTTCCTACGAACCTAAACTTCTGTTCTTCGTTCATTGTTTGATCATTTCACAGATGGCCAGAAATACGCTCAAGGTGTGGTTCATTCTGAGAGCAACTCTTTAATCAAGCGCCTAGATGATTGGACTGCCCACAAGACTGAGGCTGGAATAATCTATTACTATAATGCTTTGACAGGAGAATCTACTTACGAAAAGCCTTCTGGATTTACAGGGGAGGTATTTTCCGAAAGTTTTATATAGTTTCCGTTGCGGATAAGTTTCTATTGGTCTATAGGCTGATTTTAGCATAAAGCTCTCCCTCTTTCTCTCTTCCCCATTTCCCCCTCCCTGTTTGCGTCACACCATCTGAATTTTTTTTGTTATTCTGGTTGCATTAGCTTCATGGCTAATTCTATTTCAGCACGAAGCTTTTGTGGAATACGGGCAGATGAGTAATTATCTGAAATGACCATTGTTGACATCATGGTTTACTATTGAACTTTATGATGCTCTTCTTTATCGTAATGGCATGACTGTATCCTGTCTTCTTTATCCGTTTCTTTGGCATTGAAGTGTTGCAATTTTCCAATATTGGTGCATCTCATTCAATAATACGTACTTTTTTTTGTGTGATTGAATGGTTGCAGCCTGATAATCTTGCGGTGCAGCCAACATCAGTTTCGATGTAAGCTCTTTTTAGCTTTATTAACCATGATGCACATGAAATTTCTTCCTTTTCATATGAAAGAAATTTTTAAATCTCATTTCTTAGTTCCATAACAGCTGTATTTTGATTTTGGCCATGCATTGAAAATTTTTATGTTGTAATATGACTGTTATTTACTGAGTTGCAATATTACTAGCATTTTGTTGAAGATTTTGTTTTTTTATGAAAAACCATAGGAAAGGACATAAAACGAACAATACAAAAGACCAGCCCAAACTAAAAGAAGCAAAAAAAAAAAAATCAAACTAAAAGAAAGGGCTGGGACTCTTAAGAATAAGAACCAAAGGATAAATACAAAACTCTTTAGTCACGACACCTAGAGGGAGATATTGGATGTAGCTGTAGATCAAACCTCTCCCAAGACGACTCCCATCCCCTAAAGATCCTCTTCTTTATCTCAAGCTAGACATTCTACAAAATGGACAAAAAGCTAGTTTTACAGAACACTTCTTCATTGTCTCTAAGTGGCTGATGGAACAGCACCTCCTTTGCCATCAAATGACACAAACTATTACAGATTAGGGAAGTACTGAAATACACCATAAACCGTCCTACATCAAGGAAGCAAGCCGCATCTCCAAAACACATGATCCAAACTCTAGGAGGCACCTTTACACAAAACACATGACTTTTGCCCAAACCATATGGAAGAAGCTCTTTCCATCAAACTGATAATGTAATCTTCCCATGCATGAGCTGCCAAGCAAATAATAGAGCCACACAAATGAGAAAAGAACGAGCTATAGGAAAAACTATATAAAGGGTTGCATTACCCCGAAAAAGAGGGAGACCGTATGGAATTTTTCTTGTTTGAAATAGGTATCTAGAGGGTAATACAAAAAATTATAGAAATTCCGGGGAGAATATAAACCA